AAAAAAAAAAAAAAAAAAAAAAAAAAGAACTTGGGGGTACAATGTTTTACTTTTTCCTTCCTTCATTGGTGGGGTTCAAACCCAAGGCCAAGTACATGTTAGATCAGTGTTCTGATACCAGCCATGCCTCCAGCCCTCCCTAATTGGGAGGGTATGAAAGCAGCAGCTGATGCCCTTTCTAGCTGTTGGGTTCAGAATGTGACCAAATCCTACGGCTTCATTCAAGGCCTTCCACCAGTCTGCCGGCCCCAGCAACACTCACCCACAACATGGTTCCCGTACAGGAGCTGCTCAAGAATTGAAGTTTTGCCCACAGATGCCTGGCCACACACGACCACCTTGCAGCTCTTCCCCATGCTTAGCTTTCCACCTAAAAGGACAGAAACCATGTGGTGAGGGAAGACAGAATTCAAACAGCAGGCTGGGAAGCATCAGGGATTTAGCACCACTCTGATGTGTTGACTGAACTACTGAGCGGTGGGCTGTAATTAACCTTCTTGTCCCAGGAGTGGCCAGTACTTGGCACTCAGTAGGTGTAGGGTTAATGCCACCATAAAGGGAGGGGCCTAGAGAGTGGGGTAAAAAAACAGCTGGCTGGTTCATTTCTGTGCACAAGAAGTATGGAGCCTCAACTACTGAAGGAAGCTCCACAAATACTCCTGCTTTTCGTTTGATTTGGGGGGTGTTTTGTTTTGAGACAGGGTCTCATGTACCCCAAGCTGGCTTCCAGCTGGTGAAATAGTTAAGGCATATGCACACCAGGCTGTTTTCTCCCTTTAACCATGATTCCCGTGAAGAAAGGAGCAGGAATTTAAGATTCTTCTTGTCATCTTCTCTTCAGGGAGCGCGTGCAACTACAGAGAGTAACTTGCTTTCTTGAGTGACTAAATTTGGATGCCAATAAATTCCATTTTTAACCATTCCCAGTTGAATCCACGAGTAACATAAAGATCTGACAAGAAACGGAATAAAGAGAAAAGTGCTTCTGAAAGATGGATTTTACATCCCTTGGACTGACAGGCACAGAGAAAGCTCGTATTTATAAACTCTCCTGAGACTCCAGAGAAACGTCTTCCTAAAGGGAAACTTCCAGATACAGGCACCTGGGGAGCGCCAGTAATCTCCCCTTCCTCCTCCCCCCAGAAAGCAGAGAGATACAGAGGTCAGCCGCAAAGGAGTCCCAAGCAGAAACCTCTCCAGGTCTCCACCCCGTGGTCTGGGCGTTTCAGTAAGCGACACCCGAGAGGCTGCCAGAGGCCGCTGCCACAGAATACCCCTGAAGGGCAACCCCTCAGAATCTCAGAGGCAGAGAGAGGACAACCAAAGTGAATCAGAGACAGAGGCCGTTCTGAACCCCGCCTCCCAGCTCCATACCTCCCGGGTCCCCGCAGCACTCCCGCTGAGGTGCCCCCCGGAGTGGGCCGGACCATGGGAGGAGCAGTTAGACTGTAAAGACAACCCTCTTCCTCTGGGTGGAATGACTTGCCCTGGGGTCCCGCCCCCCCACGTCCAGCCATCAAGACAACTTCCGGCGGCGCAAAGTGAGCACTGATCGCACAGCGCCCCCAGAGGCCGGCGGGGAAATGCCCACCAGAACTTGTGTCTGGGTATAAAGCTCATGTTCCAGGCTCAGATATTAAAATGTTCTCTATCTAAAGGACAGTAACGCTTCGTTAATTCTATCATCTATCCCATAACTTTTCTCTTTCTTTTCTTGGCAGTGCTATGCTATGAATGGAACCCTGGGTTGTGCACATACTAGGCAAATGCTCTATGAACCCTGTTTTGTTTGTTTGTTTGTTTTCTTTTGATTTTCAAGTTTCTCTGTGCAGCTTTGGCTGTCTTTGAAATCACTCTGTAGACTACGATGGCTTCGAACTCAGAGATTCACCTGCCTCTGCCTCCCGAGTGCTGAGATTAAAAGCTTATGCGACCACACTCAACTAAACGTGGAATTTTTTGAACTTGGAGTGGAGGCTCACATTTGTATCCCAGCACTTGGAGGATGCAGTAGAGAGATTTTCTGAAGACAGCATAGTTTACACAGAGACCCTGTTTCAAAACAAACAAACCAAACCAAAGAAACAAACACCTCAGCACCTGCTTTGTCTTGTTTGTGTCTTGCTTAGGGCCATATACAAAGGAAAAGCTACAAGTTAGAGTGGTTAGCCATAAATTCACTGTCTAGAATAATTAGACATCCAAACTAACAATTAAAACAAACCATGATGAATGCTGTTATTGAAGTGGGGTGCTGTGGGCACTGCAGAGGGGCATTTAACTTAGAGGCGACAGATACCAAAGAGAAGGGAGGAAAGGGGTGTGTCTGTGTTCAGGTTTGAAGAGCTGAAGAGGATTTGTGAAATCTCTGGATTTGTGAAGCAGAGGAAATACAACAAGAACTATGACATTTCTTGTATCAGTCTGGGTTCTCTAGAGTCACAGAACTTATGGAATGTCTCTATAAATTAAAATTTATTTTAATGACTTACAGTCTGTATTCCAACTAACCCAACAATGGGCAGCTGTGAATGGGAAGTCCAAGAATCTAGTAGTTGCTCAGTCCCTCGAGGCTAGTTGTTTCAGCTGGTCTTCTGCATAAGCTGGTAATTCTGAAATGGTAGGATCCAACAGATGTGCTGGCAAGTAAGTGCAAGCAGGCAAAGAAGAGTGAGTCTTCCTTCTCCCAAGGTCCTTATGTAGGTCTCTAGCAGAAGGTGTGGCCCAGATGAAAGGTGTGTACCACCACATCTGGATCTGGAATTTGCTTTGTCCCAGGCTGACCTTAAACTCAGAGATCTGCTTGCCTCAGCCTCCTGGGATTAAAGGCGTGTACTACCTTGCCCGGGCCTAAGCTTTTCCTGGCCTCTATGCCTCAAGATCTCTATGTCAAGATCCAGGTCAGAAACCTGTGTTCCATCCTCAAGATCTGGATCACAGCTGTGCCCTCCAGTTCTGGATTGTAGTTCGTTCCACATATAGTCAAGTTGACAACCAGGGATAGCCATCATACAGAGGAAAGACAAGATTCATGACATTTCTGGAGCCACAAATCCCTTAGAGGCTCAGTATTGATTGAAGATACTAGCCAAATAGCAAAGATGTGTGGGAGGCCAGGGACCAAACACCACAACAGCAAGTCATTGGTAGGTTTATTTCAGGGAAATGACATATTCCATCCAGTTTTGCAAGGAAGGTCATTCTCTAGGAAGAGCCAAGACTTGACAAAGATGAAACTGAGGATTGGTTAGAAGACTATTTGAAATCTCCGAGTTTATTTATTTGCTTTTAATGTCACGACTTTGGGATGAAAAGGAGATTTGGGGAATGTGTGGCGTGAGGACATAAAGCACTGATGACAAGGTTGCAAGCCAAGGGCAATTCTGAGGCCTGTATGATTTATGTGTTTCATGTGATGATCAGTTGAACAGATGAACAGAAGGAATCCAACATAAGGAATTATTCAGGAAGGAATAAAAATTTGCATTTTCCCCCTGTTGTTGAGAAATGGATGAAAAGCAAGTTCAGTCCACTTATTAATTAAGGCAGAGGTTCTCAACCTGTGGATCATGCCCTTTTTGGCAAACCTCTGTCTCCAAAAATATTTACATTACAATTTGTAACAGTAACAAAGTTACAGTTATGAGGTAGCGACAATAATTCTATGGCTGGGGATCACCACGACATGAGGAACTGTATTAAAGGTCACAGCATTCCAACCCACTGAGGGCCAGCTTTCTTTCATTCTCTATCCCGTGGCCCCTGTGGTCCATTTCGTCAGTAATAAGGACCTACAAATAAGGTTAGAGACTTTGACACATAGCTTTCCTTAAGGGAAGGGGGATAGACCATGTTTAAATTCCATTGTCTTATTTTCGTTCCTTTTGGCTTTAAATTACAATCTCAAGGTCGTCTCCTCCACACATTTAAACCCAGAGGGCCCCAATTTAATACAACTAAACACTGTTGTGTGTGGTAGTGGCACTACAAAGATGATTACGCTGTCCTCCCAATTCACACATTTGGCCAGACAAGCGTGCTGGGTAGAGTTTATGAGAAGTAGGAGTACAGGAGACACTAAGGAAAAGGGACCTCACCCCATGAGCTGCCTTATAAACTCCGGGGGAGGGGCTGGGGCGCCATGTCATCCTTTCTAGGCTTAACGCCGAGATGGCACTCCCAAGCGGCCGACATGAAAGCAGCCTCATAAAAGGGTCCGCGTCATTGGGATGATGAACCAGTTGGTGCTTAGAGATCCGTGGAGGATGAAAGGCGCAGGGTGAAGACGCCCTGCGTTCCCCTCGCTTGGTTGGGCAGGGCTTCCAGGAACTGATGAAAGCTGGGGACTGGGCTCAAAGTAGCTCTTCATGCCTTTCCTGGGAGGAAGCTGTGGACACACTGCTAGGTCGGGAAGGTAGTCTTGGGGACCCAGTATCCACCCACCGGGGCGAGACTCCCAAGCCTTACCGGAGACTCTCTAGGATTGCTAGTTGTTATGGCAACCGTGCTGTAGGGATACTGAGGCAAGCTTAGGCCTAGAGAGGCAACATCCTTTCTGTACCCTCCTCCTACCCACGGGTAAAGTGGCGCCCCCTACACACAGGAACCGTCCCTGGGCCCCCGCCCCAGCGCGGAGACCACCGTGGACCTCCAGGGATGGGAGGCCGCTCTGGCCCCAAGCGGAGCCTCTCGTTGGTAGACGGGCTCGAGGGAGTCCCTCTGGGCGCGTTGCTGCCCAGCGGCTCGATGCTCCAACCGGAAGTGCTCTTCATCGCCTGCCTCCCACCCGGCTCTCTGGTCCCGGCGGTAAGATGGCGGCTACCGCGGAGTGCGATGTGGTAATGGCGGCGACCGAGCCTGAATTGCTGGAGGACGAAGAAGCAAAGAGGTAACCAGGTGGTAGAGTCATGGAGGAGGCGAGAGGCAGCTTGTGGCCTGGGGAAGGTCGACTCGTCAGCGAGGCAGCCCCTAAATGTAGAGACGATGTCTCTCTTGCAGATACCCTCCCCCCAATCTGAGCTGGAGTCGACATAGACCCCCCTGAAGGGACACACTTAGGGGATCTGTTACCCCCTTCTGCTTCCGCCTAGCCGGGAGCTTGAGGCATAGTCTCGTTCGGTCGTGGGGAGGAAGGTCGTCTTCATCGTAGAGGCCCGGTCTGGGGGGGGGGGTAGGAATCTCAGAGGTCGGCTTCAGAGTGGGGGAGGCGTCGCGGCGTCAATGACGACTTCCTTAACATAGCCCCGACCTCCACCCGCTCTGGTTAACTTGTGTGCATTGTTGTCTGTCCTTGTTGTACGTCTCCAAAGCCTGCATTCTCCTCCTCACTTCCTTTTCCTCACTAATTACACTTAGTGGTCTTTAGTGTGAGTCTGAGAGATTGTATGCCTACTGTATGGACCTGGTGGCCCCCTGATTGCCGTAGAAGTTAAAAATGGATAGATAGAAGGGCGAGTGAGGAGCTTGTCTCTTGCAGTACGGGTCAGACGCTTCTTCGCCATTCCTCCCAAGAGCATTCTTAAGCTCAAGGAAGACAGCTGTTTAGATGCAGTTGGCACTGCTGGGCAGCTGCAGTAGCTCGAGATTGCCAGTCTGGCCTAGCCTGGGAAGCTGCTGAGTGAGTGGTTTTTCTAGAACACTCGGTGAATTCTAACACCGGCTTAAGAACAGGTTTTTGAAGCAGGGTTGGAACACGCTTGGGAGCAGGCGCACTTGTTCTGATACCAAAGGTGAACTGATTCCTTTATCAGTTGCAGATTAATTTGATCCTTTGTTCAGGATGGACTACGGTGCCCTTAGTCTCCTTCCTGTGTGTTTCATGTGTTTATACCAAGCCTGCAGGGTATGTCTTAAGTCTGAATATTTTCTGGTGGTGAACAGAGTCAGTTCAGGAGATCTAGAAAACAGGATTCTGAGGGTTTTACTGTCCAAGTTAGACATGTAAGCGGGTACTCAGAGAGCTACAATGAATATTGTAGTTATCAGGTGTGTTGTGGGTAGTCCCTGGCTTGAAAGCTGAGCAGCTAGACAAAATGTAGTTGATCCCTTGAGCTATCAGTTTAGCCTAGTCTCCTCCTCCTGTTTGAGTGTCTAGAGTTAAGCATCCTCTGCTCCTGTGTAACTCAAGGAATTGCAAAAGGAGAAAGGAAGGCTCTCCCTAACACAAACGGAGCTTAAACTTATTTAACATATATTTGCAAAGAATTTAGTGCTTTTTACTGCTATACATAGGGACTTTGGCCATATGTCATTTAAGGAATCTATCATGTTTAGTGTAAATCTCCTGTAGAGAGAGTGTCTCTGATTTGGACTTTAAACAGGTCTCTCTATGCCAGCCTTGAACTCATAGAGATCTATTCATCTGCCTCTGCTACCCAAGTGCTGGAATTAAAGGTCTGCAACCATTATGCTTGGCTAGACTTCGCTTCTGTGTCCCCTCTCTAAAGCAACTCCTCCTTAAAACAAAACAGATGAGAGGGTGTTTTGTCTTAAATGGTGATAAATTATTATGGAGAGATATATTAAGAAACAAAAACTGAGTGTGGCAGCATACTTCTGTAATGCCTGCACTTGGGAGTCAGAGGCAGAAAGAGCTAGAATTCATCAGTCCGGGTTTTACAGTAAGAAGCTAGACATGGTAGTGCTCACTATAATCCAGCATTTGGGAGGCAGAGGCAAGCAGACAATTATAAGTTCACAGGCAGCCAGATCTCCACGGTTTTAGGCTAGCCAGGGCTACATGTTTGTGTGTGGGGTTGGGGGGGGGGGGGGAGAGAGAGAACATAAAACAGCAAAACAAGTAGTGTTATAAAGCAGCCACATCATGTAAAGCATGGTGTTTGGTTAACTGACTTTTTTTGTGGAACTTAATATGTTATTGATTATAAAACAGCTATTGGGACTGGAGAGGTGGCTCAGTGGTTAAGAGCATTGGCAGCTTTTCCAGAGGACCTGGGTTCAATTCCCAGCACCCACACCGAAGCTCACAACTGTTGGTAACAGTTGAAAGTTTAGTTCCTGAAAGAAGGGAAGATGGCAGTGGATGTAGACGTGTCTCTAGCAGTCTAAGGTAGTATCTAGGTTAGGTGTTGGGTAACACCTCTAATTGTGTGGGCTTCTTGTTAACTGAGCATTACCAAACATATAAAGCCTTTGGATAATCAAAAAAAAAAAAAGAAAAATAGAAAGAAAGAAAAAGGATATTTAGTTCCTTTCATAGACATACATACAAGCAAAACTTCAAGGCACAAACAGACAAGCAGTTATCTACCACCAAGTCAGTCTAACTGTAAATAAAAGTGAAAAATGCATTCTTGTTGTTGTTGTTTTTTGGTTTTTCGAGACAGGGTTTTCTCTGTGTAGTCCTGGCTGACCTGGAACTCACTCTGTAGACCAGGCTGGCCTCGAACTCAGAAATCTGCCTGCCTCTGCCTCCCAAGTGCTGGGATTAAAGGCGTGTGCCACCACCGCCTGGCTGAAAAATTCGTTCTTAATGGGCGTGTAATAGAGCTCAGATTTTAGACATACTAAAGCTAATTAGTTTTATATGTTCATTAGAGTCCAGTTCTGTATATAAGATAAAAAGAAAATAACTTAAAAAAATCACTTTGACCTCTACTGTGTCAGACGTCCTTAGAAGAGTGAGCATTAGGATCTGTTGGTATGAAAAACGTTGTTGTGTACTTTTCCCATTGTTGAAGGTAGAGTAGGGACCTAGAATACTCCTGTGCAGCCATAGCAGGTGATGGGGAAGGGCATCCCCTGAAGCACCCCTTTATTATTGTGGCATTGTTAGAACCCTTTGACTAAGTCTCTGGTTACATCCTTCTACTACCAGATCACTTAGGGACACATCAGCCTGTGAGTCCCTTGGAATGTTTTTATGAGGCCCAACAGGAATCCTTCCTTCCTATGTCTTGAGATCTAATGGATCTTGCTGCTGCTAAATTGTCACAATCCTACAGAGGGGTAAGATGAGCGGAACATCAAGACATTGGACCTCATGATTGCAACCTTTTCTGTGGCTGCATCTTATTTCTTCATTTTCAGTGTGTCTAGAGAGAAAGATCTTGCTGGGCAGTGGTGGCTCACGCCTTTAATCCCAGCACTTGGGAGGCAGAGGCAGGCGGATTTCTGAGTTCGAGGCCAGCCTGGTCTACAGAGTGAGTTCCAGGACAGCCAGGGCTACACAGAGAAATCCTGTCTCGAAAAACCGAGAGAGAGAGAGAGAGAGAGAGAGAGAGAGAGAGAGAGAGAGAGAGATATCTTAGGTGTTTGCACGCATTAGTTTGTCACAAGTCTCACAGCAGCTACAAAAGCAGGGTAAAAGATATGTTGAAAAGGTATAGAGCAGCCCAGGAATAAGAGGCCTCCCCCACATATGCACGCACACATGAACCCACCCTCAAGTCCCACGGAGACTCTCTTGTTTCTCTTTCTTTAGTGTTGAGTATTGAAGGCACATCTGTTTCATTCCAGGTATTCTAAGCTGAGTTTTAGCACACTCCAAAATGGAATTCTGTGTGTGAAAATTACATCTATCTTTGTGTGTCTGTGTGTGTGTGTGTGTGTGTGTGTGTGTTACCTTTGTGTCTGACAACTTTGGAGGCCAGAGGACAACTTTTGGGAATTGATTTTCTACCATTTGAGTTCCAGAGATTGAATTCAAGTTGTCAGGCTTGGTGGTAAGCATCTTTATATGCCTGCTGGGCATTTTACTGGTCCCAAAATTGTTTTTCTTTGTCTGCTACTTTGTAGATAAGGGGTTAAGATTCAGACATTTCAACAGTAGACCTAACTTGATGCCTTTGTTTCTGGGACGCTTCCCATACATATAATGCCTGTCTTGATAAAGGTCTCTAGTTATTGGTCTCTGTAGATAGCTTTTATTATGACATATGGATGGATTTCAAACAGATCACTAAAGAGGAAGCATGTCTGTTATCATTCTGCATCGGGTGTGACTGAACATAGAAATCCAAAAGAATCAGGGAGCCACAAAATGGGGAAATAGGACATTCTTGCTGGCTTCTGTAAGCTGATATTTCTTTTCTTTAGATTTAATTATTTTACATGTATGAGTTTTTGCCTGCACATACATGTGTCCATGTGTCCATGGAGGCACGATGAGGGCATTGGATTCCTTGGAACTATAGCTAGAGATGATTGTGATCTACCATGTGGGTTATAGGAAGTGAACCTAGGTCCTCTGTAAGACCAACAAGTGCTCTGAATCACTGATCCATCTCTCCAGCCCCAACAATCTGTTCTTTACACATATTTCAATTTTCTCTAATGTGCGTAAGTATTTTGCATGCATGTATCTCTGTGTACCGGATGTGTGTAGTATCTGCAGAGGTCAGAAGAGGGCCTTGAATACCCTGGAACTATAGATGGTTGTGAGCTACCATTTGGGTGTTAGGAATTGAACCTGGGTCCTTCCTTGTAGGAGCCAGTGCTCTTAACCACTGAGCCATCTCTCCAGCCCTGAGCTAACATTTTTCTATCTGTTCTAAAGCACGCAAGCACCATTCTTCTCTCTTTTTTTAAACTGTGT